GATTAATAAATAATCGTTTCTTAGGAACGGTGTACAGTTGGTTCTTTCGTCTTCTCGTTTACACCCCGGTTTATTTTATAAATCATGACTTTCGTTGCTACCTTGTGATCATATATTAATGTAAAAGCTTGAGAATGCGTAATCGAAAATAATTATTTGCTTCACTGGTCTTTTTAATAATTTCAAATGGTCCTATCTCGTAGAACAACCATTCGATAAAGTTAGGAAGCTGACCTTTTACGTCGCATTTCTTCCACCTCCGCGGGTGCCATTTATTTTATTTAGATTTATTTTAGATTTATTTATTTATTTATTATTTATTATTTATTTTATTTATTTATTTATTTTCTCGTGCGTTTGATGCTACTGGACCACCGTTGTCTTCCCTGGTCTATTGTATAAGGTTTAAATATTGATCAGACACTCTCTGAAAAGCCTCCCAAGGTATGGAGCTGTACCTTACGAGGTGCTGGTTGATTCAATTGTCAACCAAAACATTAAGGCGTGTGACTATTTGTGTTACTCTATCTTGTGCGATGCATCACATTCTTTGCACTCAGCCCTATCTCGCTTCATTTCAAGTTCTGTGACCCGCAATAAATTTAAACCTTTCTATACTCGTACCGCTGCTTTCAACAGCTCCATTGTACCTTATATTTAACATATCTTGGTTTCCCGGGAAACTGATACACGATCTAGTGTAATGCTGCAATTTTCTACAGACAGAAATTGTACAACGACAGAAATACTAGTGCACGATAGAAAGAGGCTTGGATGATCAATGGATTTGATTGTTTATATTATTTAAACACCATGACTTCTTTTAATAAACGAACCGCTAGACATGTGTCCGTTTTCTGGCTTCTCGGTTATGTGGGACAATAACATGCCAAAGTCCGCGATTTCTAATCCGTGATTCGTATCTCGTGATCAGTGCGTAGTTCAACATTCTTGTTCAATGCCTACGCGGTCTCCAGTTATTTACGCTTCTTTCACTTTACTTTTATTTGAAAAGCTTCTGGTTTTCTTGTTTGTGAACCCCATGAAAACGCAGAAATCATCGCTTTCTGGTTTGCCTTCAATTCAATTCCAACATTCCTCTGATATATCCGTTACTTCCTTCCACTTGGACGTTTGTAAACCACTCGATCCAGACAGTAGTCCGTTAACGATCCTAAAAAAGTCTCCTGGCGTTAGCCTCTGTTCTATGCCGCAATTTTTGCTGTTCGCTTTTTCCTAAATCTTCTTGCACTGCATGAAAAAAATATTATTTATCATATGACAAGACATGGTAACTCTACGAACTCCACCAAATAATATCCCATCAACTTCAGTTTGGTAATTTAAAAAGTTTGGCCATTGTCTCCAACCAAGTACGTATATTTTTCGAACACGAAGTTTCGTTGAATGACCGTCAAAATGGTTCTCGCTCTCGTCAATCTACGGGTGATCTACTGACTCTCACTTCACATTCCTCATCAACCACGGAGAAACTCACATGGTTTCACTCGACATTTCAAATGTCATCATTTGCGTTTAGCACGATAGTCGACTGCCAAAAAAGACCCATGTTTTGACTCCACCCACCGCTCATTTTGTAGCGGAGACATTTTCTCAGCAAGCGAA